CTAACACTTAATTTAAGGAGAGCTTTTCAGCAGCACCCAGTTTCGTTTTCACATAATTACATGTGTTTATTTCTGAGAGCTGCTCAGAAAAATTAATGCACCCAAACAGTCCGGCAGGGATTTATTAATCTGTCAGAAACAAGCCTGCTTCTCATGTAATAAATAAGATGAATTTGATTGCAGTGAACGAAGAGAATTGACAGGCCATGCAGCTGACTAGTAATTGGGTGAGGTCGAATGGTAATTATGAGGTAAACAGTATTGATGGCTAAAGGCTCAAATATGGATTTACAGAGATTACTGTGGTACTGACCATTTATTGAGGTGAGCGATGATTGGTATGAATAGGCAGGAACACGCACACAGCTGCATACACATGTGCACAAAGTCTGACCTCTTGTGTTTGCCTAAACCTGGTCCTCAAAAGGCATTTGTATACGTGGAGATATATACTGTATCTTTCTAAAGCAAAAACAGAATTATATGGCTTCAAACAGAAAAAAAAACCATTTCAGAAACTGATCTGGGAAGAATCGACTGAACAGGGAGACAGACTGATAATACTGTTAAGTTCAACGATGCCATGTGGCTTCTTTTGGATAATTCTTGCAAGCTGTTGAAAAGGAAGAACTGACAGAATTCATGAATGTGTGTTTACACTGACGCGTAATTTGTATTACTTGCATGGATTTGACCACTGGAGTGTTTTTGCACTTTGACATTAGCTGTATAGTAGCTAGCTGTTGTGAGCTAGAAACATACACACTGACAGTGTGTGTGCAATGTTCTCCATACATTTATGAAGATGAGTCACATAGCCTCAGGAGAAGCACAGATTCTGTTAGCTCAAGCTGGAATAATTTCAACTCACATAAACTGGTCTTTGCTTCGATTTGCTCTGCCACTGTGGAATTCCTATCATATTCATATTAGCATGGACTTATATGCAATCCCACTGTCTCTGAAATTCCCTTTATTTTCAGTCTGAAAACACCTTTAGGCAATCAACAGTAGAAATGTTGGAAGAATGCTGTATGTTGCACGTTCTCATCCTTTATCCACACAGCATGCGTGACGGCTTCCTCACTGAACTGAGTTTGCCTTTGTCCATTCACAAGGCTTTTACTGTATCATATTTATCAGAGTGCACAGAAACACTAGAGTGCTTTTAATCTGAAGAAAAAAATGTCCATAACATGTTGAAACTGTAGTGAAAGGTGCACATATTGGTGGTATAATTTCAACATGACTATGAATAGATCCTTGTCTCTGCTGGGAACCGCGCACACCTTGCTCAGCTGGATATTTTGTGTTTGGAATAAGGTGCAGTTCCATTTCAAAACTTGCCTGTTCGGAATCATTACCACTGATAAAATTCATGAATTCATGCTGACGCTAACCAACTAGTTATAGGCCTAGGTAGTTCCCAGGGCATTACAAAAGATAGGCTCACATTATTCATTCAAGGTAGCGAGCTAACATTAGCTTAATAACATTAAGTTAACCACTACATGGGCTATTAAACCCAAATTAGCTGCTGCCTCGTTAGAGAAAGACTGCCAACCCTATCCAACTGTTGTTTAGTCTGAAACTGTCGGTCTGCAACTGCTGTGTCGAGATCTCCTGGGGCTCTCAGCTCTGCAGGGCAATGTTTCTCAGCTTTCTCAAAAACCGCTAATCCAAACTTCTTCACACTCAACACTCCACTTCCTTGGGTCCTCAGCAATACATCCGCCAAGTGTGAAAACGATCAGATGAACGGTTGTCAAGAAAATAAAAAAACAGACATAGACAGACAGGCTCCTTCTATTTTAGTTGTTGAGGAAAATGTTACTCCACTTCACTGACTGTCTATTGAGAGAACAGTGTTTGGCTTTGAGAGCTTAAGTGAGCCAACTGCTGTGTTATTTTCTCCAGGCTGGGCCAATGTGAACACAATATGATGCCCTTCTCTCACCAGATTGTCAATGACAGGCTAAGGGTGCCCAGCCTGTGCGAGAAGCCTGCGACAAATACTGATAGAGAGTGACGCTCCCTGAATCATGTAGGGCAGCAGCTGAATGTGTCTCAATAACTTGCACCGGTGTGAAAAACAAACGCACAGACACAGATATGCACTCACAACAGCTGGAGAAGACGATGCATGTCATTTTTTCTACACATGTGCCAGACATTAACCAGATGTCTGCCTATAATTTCCCTACAGATCTTCATCAATAACATACCCACATCAGAATGACAATGAATTTCATGTAACACAGAAGCACATAAATGTCAGGCACCACTGCAGACGAGTGACATTCTATGAATAGAGGCCTTTAAGAATGATAGTAAATATGCAGATTTGCGTGAAACGACATAAAAGAAGGCTGTAGAATAACTGTATAATCTAATAGCAATGTTAACTGATGTGATTGATTTAATGATGCATGATCCAATCAACAGATGCTAATTCACCAGTCCAAACTGCAGATAATTGGAGGTTATAGTCATTGTCATCATCACCGTGTTTAAGAGGTGAGGCATTTCAAAGAAACAATTTCCTGTGAAAAACTGGCTCCATTACCAGAGAGATGGAGGTGTACCTGATGAATCGCAGTGCTATTAGCAGCAAATCTTACCCGTAATGATGCGCTCCATTGTACTAATCATCAAGTTTGTAATGTCAGATTGTAGCAACCCGTCCATCTGTAACTTTATATTGGCACTCATTTAACTGAGGTCTAAATTAAAGTCACCAGTACGGAGGATATTTATCATTGTTCTATGGTTCATTTGATGCAGACCAAGGGATGAAATTACACACTGTTGCCTTTCAGTATTGTTCACACTGACAAACCAAGACACAGTGTGTTTCAGCAAATTTGCCTTTTAACTTGAAGCATATTTGTGTTTATAACAATATCATATATCATTACAACATCACATATCATAACCGAAGTTGTCTGAGTGCAGTCGTTCAAACAATGTGTTAATACAATATTTCTTCATCCAAAACAATCTTTGATTGAGCTTTTGAATATTTTCACCACTGAGCTGCAACATAAGCTAGTTGAGCTAATTGTAAGAAAGTTAACCAAACGTAACTTTACGTAAAGGATTGTCTTTTTAATCTGATATCTGGGGTCCTATCAGGTCATATGGTATTTTATCCGTACTGCTACCATCTCGACGCAGATACAGGACTCTGGCCTGTAAACGTGCTCGCTTTGGTAGGAGTTTTGTATTTTCTGCCACAGCATCTCTAAACAAGGCATCCCGGTAACCGTGGGTGCGACAGGGAGGGTTAAATGTGCTAAATATGCTGCATTAAGTGTTTATTCTTGTTGTTATGTCGTGGTGTCCCTATGTATCTTGTATCTATGTATGTATGTCTGAAAGCTACATACTGACTGCGGTGACAATTTCCTGTGAAGGACAATAAAGTATCTATCTATCTATATGACTTCCAAAGACATGGATGTGTGTTCCCAAAATAAACAGCAGACTGTCTCAACTAATCAGGACTGGGACTTTTTGCAGTTTTGTATTCACAATAACAACAAGTGACTTTTTCCAAAGTTAAAAAGAAAAAAGGAACCTGTAATGTATTCAAGAATCACAAACAGTGTGAATGTTATGTTACTTTAACTAATGTCATCTTTAAAGTATGTTTTTTTTTTTTTTAAATGTTTCTGTGTAGTTCTGAAATAAACTACATGTTACTGCATCCCATTTGTACTGGACTGTTCATTAGATCACATGATACACCCATTTAGATTATTTCTAATGTAGACAGAGATGAAAGACTTTCCAGCCAAAACCTCCAAAGCCTCTGACTTAGGAAAAAAAATCTCATTTTTACTCCAAATCCTAGTGATCAATCTTTCCTCTCGCCCGTCTGTCTGTTATCTTCTCCCATTTGTCTGGGGTCTATTTTGCCCCATCTATCCACAAACCACCCTATAAAGCTGACTTTTCTGACTGCCTCATCGCACAACATCGGTGCTCTCTCTGTCTAGCCTGAGGTCAGCTCAGGGAATGAGATGGTGTTGCGAAGATAGTGGAAAAATGTCACCCGGGAATGAAATATTGATGGACAGAAAGGCCTTGCCTCTTTCCCTTGCCCTCGGGCGTTGAGTGAGAGTCACGCACTTGATGGGCACCGAGGAGGAAAGCCAAAACAAACACACTAATCTGCAGGAAAGGAGACAGACGGAGAGCGGGAACGTCACAATCCCGTCCATCCTTTCCCTCGGAGGTATCGTTATCTTCTCCCTCCCCATAAGCAAACCATAATCAGATTCTCTTGCACTTCACTTGATGTGGTTTATTTCCATCCAAACCTTCCAGGCTTAGCATATGATCCCCTTCTGGCAAATAAGGAATCAATAGAATGTAAATAAGGAGAGGGAAAATAAACCCAAACACCTGAATTTGCATAACTACATGCAAGGTAAAGCTAGGGTGAAACATGCCAGCCTTGTTTAAAACTGAACTGTCTGCTTGCTGTTTTAGTGAGCCTCAATTACAAAGCAGGAGAGACAGCAGAGAGAGATGTCACCCTTCTGCTGCCGAACAAAAGCAGCGCTGTTGTTGAACTCATCGAAATGTCATTCATGTCAAGTAAGATTCGAGGTGTGTTTTGTACAAATGTACGTACAGCAGCATGAAGTAGGGACAAGTAATGTAGGCAGTTTATGAGGCTGCCACTCAAGTAATTGTATAATTCAAGAGTAATGATCACTATGCCACATCTGTGCTGATTTTGTCATTCTTTGTAACAAGCAAACAATAAAACCTTATGACAGCTTTATCTGTGATGAGAAAGAAACAAGCCTCATTACAAAAAAGTTCAAATTATAGCTTCATAAAAGCAGAAATCTCTTCAAGGCCAATGCTCATTGTATAAAAATACATGTATATTTCATCCTTGTCAGTGCTACACTCATTCATTGCTGAAAGAATGAACATGGCTGCTCTGAATTCCAGCAGATACAGTCAATATTGTGGTCACTCACCATTAATCCATTTGGCCTCCGGGTCATGGGCCTTGAACTCAGGTTTAAACAGATCCTCCACAGTCAGTTTGGTGTCGCTTCCAGCTTGGGTGTCAACTGCAAAAACAAACCATGAATTGTTAAGCTGCCTAACATTTAGTCAAATATGGGTACCACATGGGTGTCAAGTTCTCTCCTCTTATCAAATGTCAGTAGCAAGCCCATTAGCTTTCTAGCGTGCACGCAGTTTGAAATCAATCTCCAGCATTAGCTGACCTTGGGAGTCACTTCCACCACTGGCATTTTTAAATGTTTTCCCGACATCAAAACACCCAAAACACAAAGTCACCTCTTAAAACGACGGAAAAGACACTAGGCTTAGAAAGCATCCTGGGAATACATCACCGTGTGTGCATGTGTTTGAGAGAAAGCTTTCAAAACAGAGGTAGTGTAGGTCAGAGACGTGCACAGACATTTTGAGGGGCTGTTGCTCTAACCTGCAAAAAGAGGCAGGCCTCCGCTTGACACAGAGATGGGGTGGTCCAAAGCCGTAAAACAAAAACATGATGCAGAGCGATTCCCTGTGCCCCCTGTTATGTGACACTGCAGCATCCAAACTTGGTATGGGTGCTGTTGTGTGACGACTCCAGATCAGATGAGTCTTTTGAAGTGAGATGATTAATGAGGAACAGTCTAACCAATGGGATTGGATGATATGGTGGTTTAATTTGGTCTAATAGGCTATTCATATTTGCATTATAGAGACAAACCCACAGAGAACCATCAGCCAGCTCTGCACTTGTACAGAGTGTTTTAGTTCCTTTTAGATTTTCGTCCAACTGCTTGCATATGTAATGTATGTACAGATAATTTTTGGCAGCTATTTTCAACAACCCCTTATTAACCCACTGTACGCAACCCACCGAGTACCAAACAGAAGACAGATAAAGTTAACGACTAGCTAACATCTAGCAAGCTAAAGATATTTTTCACTGTAGTTGATGGAGACCAAAACAGAGCATAATGGATTGGAAATTATTACATTAGTCAGGTGGCAACTTCAGTACTTCTGCCACCTAGGGGTTAAAAGTGGATTCATGTAGCTTTAAACTTTAGGTTTTAAATTGGACTTCTGCCTTATTAAAGATATCCCTTTATCCCTGCAACCTGCTAAAAGCTACAATTAAAATTGACTGTTCGCAGTGGCCACAAGGTTTCTCTGTTTAACAAGACAAAAAAAAAAGCTGGACGTTTACATCTGCTTGGCAGACAGGTGTGTTGAGTGTCCTTTTTATCCAGATTTACATAAAGGCACTTACACACACAAACAAATCCATGAAAAAGATGCACACAGACAATGTTTTTTGTCAGAATGGCATTTCATATGTTTATTAACATGATCATTACTGGGCTAGAAAATCCTCAAGCTGTTCCAATGTTGCCCCTGGAAATGTTTCATTTTTAATTATGAAATGTTACGCCTTTAGCAGAAATTTTTTTTTTTTCCAATTGTAAGCTCCTTCTGAATAGGACAGCTGCTGATTGTGAGCTGAATAGGAGGGCCAAGTCATTTTGAATGTCAGCCATATTGGCTTTCCTTGATAACTCCACACAGCATGTTTGTTTATGGAGGCAATGAAAGTCTAACCAAGCGTAGAATACCTCAGGGGAGAGTGTGGCTGCACGGGCAGGGGATTGTGATGATTTTACATCTGAGTAACATTGGAGTTTTTTCTTTCCTAATTCTGAAAGCAGGTATACAGTGTACAAGAGTATTCAAGTAGCAAAAGAATACTGATCAGCTACCTGGATCAAACTACTGTGTCATACAGAGACACCAGGTTGGTGGTTTTATGGGTCACACAGTTCCCTAAATAGTTTTGAGCAGTGTGGGTATCTCTGGCCACACGGAAGGTGAGCACTGGTGTACAAAAATACTCAATATAGATGAGTCATGATATTTTGATAGTTTTAAAGCAGCATCAGCATTGTTTTTTTGTTTTTTGGGGGGGATACTTGAAGGCAGAACTCAAGAACAAGCTAAAAATCACAGACATTTGACATATTATGACTTTTTAAAGTTGATATAGTTAACTACTGTGCAAACTGTTCCCTATTTACATATCCAACAGACAAAATTAGCATTCATTTGGAGTTGTGTTTCTGGCAACCTGACCTGTAAGTCCAATATTCACTCTCATTTTACCTCTGTTGGTCTCCACCAAGTCCCGAGAGAAATATTGGCCTCTTTGGCTGTTACATTCTCCACTTTCTCCATGTTCACCAGCTAGCTGCTAACTTTGTCTGTCAGTGTAAAAAAGGTGAATACTGTTTACATCCAGCCCCAGTTAGGTATAGGAGAGGATACAAAACAGCACCGGGAGATAAGGAGAGACTATCGCCGTTTGGTGCCGGTCAGGCAGCATGTGTTGATCAAAGTAAACCAAAGAAAGGGTGGGACTGAACCTCACTGAAACTAAAACAGTAAAAGCCAAACAATGAACTGAAAGATGATAAAATGCTCTGTAAGATTTGGTGATCATCCCTTAGCAAGAATGACCCATTTCACGTAACATAACCAACTAAACTAATGCTCATATATGAAATATTGATTAATGTAGCTTTAAGTTGGACAAACATCAGAAGTGAAGAAAATCTACCTCTCTTCAAATTGTCATAGTCTTCCAATCTCATCCTCAGCATTCAGTATATTTCAGATATTCTGGATGAGGGCTGAAGCATACTGACATCTCTTTCAAGATAATCTGTTGATCCATTGGCTTTTAAGTTTATAACAAGTATGAATTTTAATATTTTTAGACTCTAACTGCAATATTGATGTCTTGTTGAAGTCAAATACAAAATCCTCAAGTCTAAATCTCTTTTTTGGTCACTTAGCTGGTAAGAACAGACTTTTCAGGCCCTAAAACCCAAATAATGAGCCAAAAGAAACTAAAATGCTTGTTAGAGCTGAGGGGAAACTGCAAATAATTCTCAGTAGGATTGTCAGTATGAGCAACCACCTTCATCAAAGATCCATTTTAATGCAGGAAATCTCAGTGCAACTTAATGACAAGCAAAGTTATTTTTACAACATATGATGATATTGTACATTTGGCAGGTTTGACAAAATTGGGGTGAAAGATTTCACACACAAATTTCAGTAGTCGCAGCAAAAACAGCAAGAGGAAAGAGTAAAAGCAGATGTAACAGAGCGATTCTTGAACCAGAGTCAATCGCAAGATAGCAGAGCACAGTCACGGCTGAGTGTTACCTGGTGTGAGGAGGATGACAGACATTGTGATGAGGGAGCAGACCACCAGGATGACCAGCAAAGCGATGGCAATCCCTTTCCAGTTCCTCTGAGGAGGGCTCACCCCACCCAGGTCCTATAGAGAAAGAGAGAGAGAGGGGGGAAATGGAGGTATTGAGGTTTATTTTGTCTCTTTCACGTTGCTTGGTTTGTGACGTTTACCAAGGCCAGAAAATCATGAGTAATGACACCAAATGTAGCTGTACACACAGACCACTGCGCTGCTTGCAACCTATTAACATAGGTCACACCAAGGCTTTGTATTTTCAGTCCAATCAGAAAAGAGCAAATTAAGCTATCAGCAGTCACAAACAGGTATATACCATGTTTATATACAGGAGAAATTCCAGCCCTAGGCTTTCCACAGCCTTTCTGAGACATTTGTGGGTGTGAAGCCCTATTAAACAAACAGTATCCAGGAACCTGCCGGGGATCTACAACCAGTTGATACAGATCATCAGAACAACATCCACAAAAGCTAGCAAGAAAAATAAGAAAATTAAATTCATAAAAAGAAATAATACTCTGTTGACAAGTAAATCTTAGGACAGAGTGATAAACTGAATCTAGGGGTCTAAGATTTTAGGCAGAGGCGTGTCTATAGACAACATCACCATAATCCAGAACTGACAAGAAGCCGGCCTAAAAAAAAAATCCACTTCATGTAAAGTTTAACTTAAACAAAAGACGAAGATCCCTTGAGTTCAGGAACATTACCATTAAAACTGGTAGGTTTAATGCTGCTCCAGAGGAGGACAGACATTGTGATTGAGGTGAAACAGAGAATGAGGTTCACTTTTTGTTTTGCTGTTCTGTCTCTGAGAACATAAAGGATGTCCTTTTTAGTAAAACGTCCTCCATATACAGTGATTTCTTTTTGCTGGATGGTTATGAAAAACTTGAATTGTATAATCTGTAATCTGTTATTGTAATGATATGTATTTTTGGTGTCTTGTAAACTTTGCACTTTGTGTACATGGCACAAAAATCTAATCAAGTCAAATCAAATCTTCCTGAATATAGGGAAATTAGCTCTGTTTCAGTAAACATCTACAATTATCAGTGTGAAACCTGAACGTAACTTCTTGATCTAGCCAGATGACAAGACATTAACACTCTGAATACCCTTTCAATAGGTTGTCCATTCAGAGAGATAATATCATATCATAATATAAAAGTCATAAGAAGATATATATCACCTTCTATTGTTGCAGAAACCAGATAAGTGACCCATGGATTTACTGTATACACTAACAATAAGAGAAGACACCATGCACAGAACCTCCATAGAAAATAAATATACATCAAAAATACCCACCATTCATAACAAACAAGAAAACAGGTATTTCCCATTTAAGCCCCCAGGATGCTCATTCTGTAAGTGGTTTTGTTTGAGTTTTTCAATCCAATCCCCTGCTCAGTGAAGGATTTACAATGAAGGGCTTTACATGAGTCACACCGTAAGCCTGAAAAATGAAACTCACTGTTTCTGATTGTGTTCCGGTGCTGGAAAACGGAAAGGTATTTGCATGGTTCAATCATTGCTTGGGCAGCCTCTCATTTGAATCACACCTTATGACCTGTGAAAAACACATACTTTCTCCCAGGGCCAGGAGTCGCACTTTCTGCAGCTGAGTTGGATGTTGTGTGTTATGACCCTCAAACGGAGCTGCTGCTACATCTTTTGCAGATAAGGAATACAGCAGGTATTTGCATTCAAGGGCTACGTCGGTCAAACTGGCAGCAGAAAAGCTTGGATTGAGCAATCTGAGTGACCGCGGAGTACACCGTGTGTGATATCATCTACAGTGAAATAGCTGTCCAGGAGAGTTTGTGAAGCTTTTGCCTGCAACTCCATCTCTGAGTCCTGGTATTAGAGGGTCTTAAACTGGGTCTTCCACCACATCTGCTGCCTCCGATAAGGCGAATTAAGCCCGCCCCTACTATAAATTTCTTCTCACCACAGCTCCTCCTGGCCTCAATTACCCACAAAACCCTGCAGCTGAAATACAGTGATTGCTGGCCACCAACCCAATACTACACCTTGATTGGCTGGAGGGGAGGGGGAACAAAATGATTGCCAATTAGAGTTCTGCTTTCACAAAGAAGCTCTCTTCATGTCTGTCTCAGATTTTCTCTGAAATCCATTTGCTAAGTACTTCAAATGTGGTTTAAATGCAGTGCACCTCACTTTTTTATCTGATAGTCATGACTAGAAATGTCACATATACTGCCTGATGAGCCAATTATGACTGAAGTGCCTCTAGTTATTTCTCAAAGAACACAAAGTAGCAGACAGAGAAGACAAGGTTACCAGCCACATGTACCTCAATCTAACAGATTTTTAGATCATTTTCAAGTTACATTAGAGTGTACTTCCTTCTACTTCAGAGTACACGAGACTTTACTGACACACATTACATGGATGCAGTGTTACATTTTTCACTACCCCCGTTGGACTCATAAGACCGATCTATTATCAGGACTTGGGCCGCTGCTCATTTCATTAATACCACAAAATGCTGACGTGTCCTTGAAAACTGACAGCAACTCTAAATTGCCCTTGTGCCGCCATGCATGGGATTCTTTCTCCCTCTCTTTTTCATTTTATATCTCATTTTCTCCCCCAATTTCCTATTTAGCCGCTTTTGAATCATCGTCCTCAATTTATTAACTCAATTATGAGCAATGATATAACCACTAAGAGAATTTTGACCCACTGAGTCTCTCCATTGCCATTATTAGGATTGAGGAAGCATAGAGAGAGCACCCTGATAAACGGTTAGCCTTCCACAGGGAATGAGAAAGCAACTTGGCTTTATCACAATCAGTAGCACCTCATCAAAGGAAATACATTTCTCCAAAAATCTATATAGACTAGAGGACAGACTGGGGCCTTCAGGATCTCTTTGACAAAATAGAACCAATAATTAGAGCCGGGGTTGGCTCGAGGTTTCTGCCTCTTAAAAAGGACATTTTTCCTTGCCACTGTAACCAAGTGCTTGCTCATGGTGAGACTTGTTGGGTATTGTTTAATAACAAGTACAGTCTGGACTATTTGAAAAGTGTCCTGATTTGGTGCTATACAAAACAAAACCTTGTGAATGAGTATTTCCAAGCCCTTTACTTTCTCACACTATCATGATTTAATGAGGCACATTTTTATTTCAAAAGAAACAATATGTGTCATATGCTACATCTGAAATTGGTTCCCTAAGAGCATATGTTTTTCCTCGACTTGCTACATTTTCCTTTGATTTCCTGTCAGCATGTCATTCATTTAGTGTGTTCATTGACTTCACATAAAGGTGCAGGTCTGTGCTACAAAGGAACACATGGGGTTATAAATAAACTCCTGATGGGCTGGATAGTAAGAACAAGAAAGTCTGCGCCTTCAGTTTTCATGACCCTGAGAGTAGAAAGTACAAGGACAAAGGCCTGCTCCTATAAAAGTGTATTTTTTGTCTTACCAAGCCTCTCCTCTACCACCCAATAGTAATACAAAGTACATTTACTCAGGTACTGTACAAATAAGAGGGACTTGTACTTGTACTCCATTTTATTCAACTGTATACTTTAACTCCACTAAATCTCAGAGGCAAATATTGCTTTAGTTTTTACTCCACTATATTTGTATGGCAGCTTTAATATTACAATTCTCCAGAAATTCTGCTACTTCTTAAGCTAAATAAACAAGGTAGGTGGTTCAGTTATGCTAAAAACATATGACGATCTTATAAAATATGATGCATTGCTGTACATTAAACTACCAATTACCAGCAGTATACAAAGTACTCATAAAAGATATGTATCTTTCACCACTTTTACCATGAGGAAAACTTGTAGGAGTCTGACAGTAACTGTACTGGTCACATGCATTTGCCACCTATGTGCGTGGGCATTATCAGCAGTCACCATACTATGTTATGTATGATATATGCTGTATGCCTGACAAAGAGTCTTTGCTAAAGAATTCAGGTTGCCATGTCATATTCAAAGTGATTGCATAATTGCATATGTCTAAATGTCAGAGCAAAATGTCAATATAACAAAAGTGAACTGGAGAGTAGTATGAACCTAAAAACTGATCTATGGCGCAAACCAACAATTATATCCTTAAATTATAGGTACTTTGGTAAAAGGAATCTTTTATTCTATTTCAGTTTAAAGAAATACTTTTTGGCAAAATATGCATGTTTGCTCTTATACCAGGAATTAGATAAGAACAATGATATTTTTATGTTTATGTTTTTTTTTACATATTATAATAGTAGAAAAATTAGACATTGTGGTTTATGAGCGGTTAACATTAGTTTATGCATTCAAGCTATTTCCTGTGCTAAGATAGGCTAAACACGGCATGAGTCAGAGTGAACACAGAGATCAGCCTGTATCCAACTCCCAAACAATAATGTTAAACACAATCAGCAATCAATGTGCTTGTACTGAAAAGCAAGATGCATGGGCCCTGTTTCAGCTAGTTGGATATAAGTGAGACTTATACATAAACTATATTCAAATCGAGGCACTCCTGGAGTATTCTCAATAGAAATCCACAATAGAGGCAGCGTTTTGAGTATGTTTGACATCTGTCCCTAGTCTGTCTAATGACCCCCTGCTGCTGACAGGACAGCTGGTTTTGAGGACAATTATGCCATTACGGAGGCTGAAATTTGTGTGGATTGAACAAATGGACATTTCAAAAGTGCTTACCGATGCCTCACGTCTGGTGTGAATTATCTGCAATGTTATTTGTCAATCCCTGCTGAGGGTCTCCACACTGACTCTGTAAATGGAGGGTCTGCTGACTCTCAGTGTCCTGACCACATTCAAGAGGTACTACATGCATATGTACCAATTCTAACCTCTTGTTTTTACTCCCATCAGTTTTTATTTATTTATTCAACCAAGACAAAGAACCTTCATTTAATTAAACTGACTGTAATTCTACCTGTCTCTCTCTGGAGCAAACGCCATCACACTCAATCAATACGATCAATTATTCATCAGGTCAAGTGGACCACAGAAAATAATGGGATACATTTGTGGTTGGGGAAGTATCGAGGGGCATATAGC